TGCTGGACAAGACCTCCAGAAATTATACAAAATGTAACTGAAAGATATTTTTCATTAACCTGTTATTAAAAGTCCTGATGATGAATATCTAGCGATTTTTCCTTGGTAGCCTGTAACAATACTTAATTGTTCTTACAGAACTTATGTCAACTTCTACTTTCCCTGGCTATCAATGAAGTCTATTACCACTTATACATCCCTTCAACTGACATAAAGGAGGTTTTATTATTTTTCTAACAACCTGCTACATACTGGAGGACAAATCATCCTTTACTCCCCAAATCTTCACTTTTCTTCATCAGACAATTATTTTGCCTGTTTGTTCTTCATCGGTCATCTGTTCTTCACTGTTATCATCTTTTATGATCGCATGTGGATATTTTGCATCTATCTGAAAGCTTAGTGCCCAAATCTGGACAAAGTATTTCACCTGAGGGCTTGTAATTATTTGACTCTACTCATTAGTAAACTTCCAAGCCTTAATTCCTCTTAGAACATTGTAAAACAGTGCTTGTGGTCTGCTATAAAGCCCCAGACCTCCCCAGCCTGCTTCTGTTGCACTGGTTATTCCACACTTTGCATTTGTGGAGGGTCTGTTCCTCTTATTTCTGAGGTGATACACTTTTCATTTTCTTTCTGGAATTTATGAAGTTATTTGCTCATTCTTAAAAGTTTTTTCACTTGCATCAGCTAAGTCACTGCCTTCCACCAGAAGGGATTTCCACTGGCCAATTGCACTTCATCTAAACAACTTATTTTTAAGTGTTCAACACCAACTGACTGCAGTATTTCACTAAGTTGAATCTCTGTTTTTATATTATAGGGTGACATAAAAGTAAGATCATCCCATTCTACTGTGACCATCATGAAGACCTCAAGAAAATGCCTTCTAAAACTTTCTTTTTAAATAAACGCCTTTAAACTGTGTTTTGCAGCGTTCTCTTTCTAGTCACTTTTATGTTTGTCTTTGAAACCCAACCAAGAATGGGGCTCCTCTGTGTGGCAGGCACTGTTCAAACACAGAACACTAACCCTACAGAGCTTTGCAAGCAGCGTGCTTCAGAAGAGCACAGGATAGAGAAATGGGGTATAAAACAAAGGAATAGCGAAAAAGCATAATGGTTGTATGCGGAGGAAAAGAACGAGACAATCGGGGGAAAAAAGTCAATAGTGACTACATGGGGGGGCATGGCACAGGAAAAGGTAAAGGGACAGGAGTTGAAGAGAATATGAAGAAGGAATGGGGAAAAAATGTGACCCGGCGAAGACAGGACAGATGAAGTCTAGTTAAACTGCAGAATTCTCTGAATGCCTGAGGGTCTTTGCTTTCATATTTCTGCCGCCATGCCTGCCTGCTGGAGTCTGCAGACATACAACTTTGCTTCACTGACCACTTTATCGTCTCTTTCTGCAGAGTTTCATTCTCATCTCAGCATTTTTGAGCACAGATAACCCAAAATATCTGGTAAATCGTACAGACCTCACCCGCAGACACCCTTGTTTTGTATTACACTGACACAGCTACAAGGAAGGACAATTAAAGAGTGTATATTCTTCGGGAGGAACGAGAATTGGCCATCTGATCCAGAACTCACCATCGGAGAACATGGAACGCTTCTGCATTTTTATGCAAATCCTGCTTGATTAGGGTTATCTCCTCATTGTTGTACTGTTATCTGCCTGGCCTTAAAGAACTAACTTCTGTGCAGAGTGTAAGGACCCCGGGAGGGGTACAAACAGAGCAGCCATTAACAGCTCCCTGCAACTGCAGAGGTCGGACAATGGCTGAACACAACAGTAGTTACAGCCAGAATGAAGGGAGTTCTTACCACCTTTCAAAGTGACCGAGTGGAAAGCAGGCGGCAAATATCAGCAACGAGTCAGTCTTTAAAAACTACAGAGGAAAAGCAGCTCACTAAATAGGAACTCAAGAGAGCTTGCCTGCAGAAGGAAGCAGCTTTGGGATCTGGGGGCTAAACATGCCAAACAACACAAAATTCAGGGAGAAACCTCCAGGGCTTGGAGAGGAAAGTCCGGGAACGTGGATCTGAAAAACTACACTCTGGTGTGATCAGACAATAGGGTCACAGCGTTTGTTAGTAACAAAGCCTTGTGCATTGTTTGTGCTAACAGAAGCAAAGAGCAATTATTTTAGAAATTATCTTTAAAGACTGCATCTCTGACTGTTATTGCAACTATGAAGGGGCAAACTAAAACGCACCCAAGCTCTGGGAAAGGCTAACCTTAAACTATCAGGAGCCTGCAGGAAAGCACATACAGGTGGGATATTTAGCACAGGTAAGAGGGATAGCTCAGGGATTTTATTTTTTAAGAAAAAGAATAGAACCTTTCAAAAGGGCTACCAGATAGACAATGCAACAAAAGGCTAAAAGGGAACGGTTTTTGCATTCCTATATTAAAGGGAATATTAAAAACACATGGAGTCACTGGTGGGATCTAAACATAAATGGGATCTGAACCAGCTGAGCGCCAGTTAAAAAAAAAAATTAATGGCACAGTCCTATTTTTGACAGTAAGTCATACTTAGGAAACATTTAATTTTAAATTAAAGGCAGGAACACTGGTTTGTGCCACCATTATGCAGTGAGACATTTTAAAATAGCGTATCTGAAATCCCAGGACAGGTAAAATGAGTTTTCCAAATTATTGCCTGAAAATGGCTGAAAATATTTGTACATTTTATAAGGAAGGAAAACATGTAGTGAAAATACATTGTTTGAAGGTTAAAACTAGGTAACACAACCGGGGAGTAGGTCCATGCCTCACAAGTCTTAGGGGCCCAGATATGATAAATATCAGTACCTGTTACCTACTGCTAAAGGGGTTTTTTTGCGTGTTTTTCTCGCCATGTAAGGAATTTATATGCTTTAGAAGAGCAAGTTCGCTAGAAATAGTAACTTTTTTTTTTTAAATTTAGGTCAAGGTGTTTCAGCCTGCAAGCGCGGCACCCTGTCTTAGCTGTAAGCTAACACCTAAAGACAGGGCGTGAGAACTGCAGCTTTTAGGTTTCCCCCGATTGCCTCCGTTTTTACCGTTACTGTTCTACGGTACTACACGATTGCCGTACACGATGCAAAACCGCTCGGGAGTCACTGTTTTCAACCTGTAACTACAGCAGAGGACGTTACCTTCTCTCCAGCCGCTTCACACTAGCACTAATCCCACGCACTATTATACCGCAAGGAGGAAAGGCCACGAGCGAGGCAGCAAGCGAACTAAGGCTCCGGAGGTCAGCCAGGCACAGCGCCTGGCAAACAACCCCTTACTCCCGCCGTAAGCCAGGCCGG